AGAAAGGGGGATGTGCGGTTATTGATTAACACATCACGTGTTAAGGGATCATATTTACCATAAATGCATACGCAGGTGTTTTGTACAATCACTTAGAGTCTGGATCAGTCAATAAACAGAATAAAAACCTTACAGACACCATTAGCCTTTTTGCAGAAAAGAGGAGACGGATGTGATGACATCAACATGATTGTCGTGATGATACAAATAGATTTGTTATTCTCAATGAGGTCCTTCATACACAATGGCATTGAAGTGATCAGAGGATAGGATTACGATTTGGTAGTCTTCGATGACTTGTTGGAACATCACTACTTTAAACAGCCCACAGAGACCTTCTGGAATGCCATTCTTCTGATGTAACTCCTTGGCCAAGATGTTTTGCCATTGACGTCCCTGACGAATAGAGTTTCAGTCAGGATGTTTTTCTTGGCGAGCCATGTCTGTTACCAAAGTGCGGGCAAGGCACAGAAATCCTTATTTGGGACATGAATGACCCACTGCTTAGTATCCAGAAACTTTACAACTTGAATCCATAAGGTTTCCTCTTACGAGAGGCGACTCCACCATGCGGCATGCCCACGTGAACCAGATGAACCTGTATTCCATCTTCAAGGTTGACATTTTCATTTGATTGTAACACACGCTGCACTTCTCCCATGATCCTATCAGCATTTAACTCATGACGAGGCATGAATGGTAAAGAAAGGGGGTATTCTAATGACCGGCTTTGGAGGACAAATGGAACGAGATCATTGTCCTTCATGCCCTTTGTCATTTCGTCCACCACAGAATCAAAAACCGCGCCCAGTTGATCCATAAGGGGGGCTCCACCCATCTGCGGTTCCGGTGAGAGGTGATAATCTGTGGCTGAAGTGATAAATTTTCGTAGTTTCACGAAGAGTGTAGTTTGTCAGATGTCCACATATTCCCTCCAGCACCCACACGGTGACAATTTATTGACAGTGGTTGATTACATGCGTCATCATGGGAATTGTCGTTCTGAATTAGTTGTACCTGTTTATCCTGAAAGAGGGGACATGGTTCTTATTCAAGGCAAATACAATGGAGACATTTGGCATGGTCACATCCAAAGTGTAGATTTTGTCAACTTAACGGTGGATGTCTTCTTTTTCATTTCAAGTATGACACTACGTCATTACAACGCATATGTGAGGGAAAGTCATAGCAGGAGAGCAAGGAATGTCGTGGCTTGGGAACCAATCATTGGAATTGCTGAAGGCCACTGGAGAAGTGCTTCAACATGGGTGAAGGCAAACTGATCATGAGAAAGATTTAATAGTGAAGATACTTAAAGTAATCGAGCTCGGTAAGAAATGTATCAACAATTAAGCAATCAGCAGTAGTTGTAGTCGATCCTGTTTGTCTTATTGGCCACATGTTAATGAGGCTATAAACTTGCATTTTATTGAAGAGCATACTAAAGTACCTTTTTTTAGGTTTTTAGAAGGTCTTTGTATCTCGTATCTAATTTGCATCTCAAACCTTTTCACTAATAGGAGCGTTTTGTCCAAAACCTGGGAAATGTGGAAAATTAATTCAAATGTCTAATTATTTACATATACTGTGTATCACAGGTAATGTTTTGTAATTCCCAACTTGTGAATAAAGTGGGTTGTTTCAGGGTTTTCGTTGTGTTTTCTTTGTGAATTTCCCAGATTGGGAAAATGATACCAAACCCTTACGTGGGACAGGAATATCCCATTTTTTTCCTTGTCATGGGAATTTCTCGTCCCAGTATTTTTCCAGACATGGGAATTAAATGTCCCAATATTTTCCCTGACATGGATTTTTCACATCCCAAAAATTCCCCAAGATGGGATTTTAGTGTCCCAAACATTATCTGGCATGGGGTTTTAATGTCCCAAAAATTTCCCTCATGTGGGGTTTGATTGTCCCACCAATTTCACTAAAATGGGTATTAAGCATCCCATTTATTTCCCTGACATGTGGTTTTATTGTCCCTGTAATTTCCCTAGCATGTTGTTTTTTTGTCCCAAAATTTTCCCTGTTTGTCCCCACAATTTTCACTGACTTGGGTATTACTGTCCCATTAATTTTCCTGAGATATGGTTTTAATATCCCAGTAATTTCCCTGGTGATGGGTTTTAACATTCCAGTAATTTCTCTAATATGGGTTTTATTTAATCTCACTTATTTCCCTGCAATGGGTTCTGACTGTCCTAGCCATTTTCCCGTAATGTCTTTATTGTAATATAATGCACCAAAAGTAGTACTGAGTTAGATAAACATTTACAAACAATCATGATTGTTAAACTGTTTATTACAGTCCCTGTACAATTACAATAAACTGGCACTTTCGATAACCATAAGTTTCTTGTGCTTCAAATGGTATTATTGTATTCTAAGGGGACACACCATGAAGATAATGTCGCTCCTATATATATCTAATTGTCGCAAATTGACACAAAATGGTCAAAAATGACCATATTTTACATCTAGTTCAAATCAAGTAGCCAGAAACAGCAACAACAAAACAGACTGAAGCACCACTATACACTGTACTTCTGAAGTTCACAAATGTCGAAAACCCCAATATACTCCTAAGCTCTGTGGGTTTCAAATTAGTTAAGTTCCTTTACTCTACAAACACATTTTACATATAGTGCAAATCAAATAGCTTGAAACAGCAACACAACAGACTGATCATGAAGCAACACTATATACTGCACTTCTGAAGTTCACAAAATGTCTAAAAGGCAATTTCTCTAAGTACAGTTATATCCTCGTGTACGTTTTTCACCACTTCTTTGACCTTGCAGTAATCATTTCGCACTAGCTTCCTGGCCAATACACTCATAAACTCTGTGGGTTTCAAATTAGTTAAGTTTTGCTGTACAGAAAACTTTTTCTTAAGGATGTCAACAACATCATGTCTGTTTAAAATACAACCAAAGACACCCTTTACAATTGCTTGATTGACTGCCAGGGGCCAAGCTGACATGCCTTCACTCACAACAACTGAGGGAACTTGAGAGCAAGGTGGTGATTCACTTATACAGGAGTCATCATTGTCATCGATATCCTCATCGACAGGTTCTGTATGACCACCCTCAGATGGAGGAGAACTTTCTCTTTCTGATCCAGATGCAGATGAACTTCCACTTGCAGACAATTTTCCACTGGACAACTGCAAAACAAAACATAGTTTATCAAATCTCTATTGACAAAAAAACAATCAAATATTGTTTTCCCCTCTAACTTTTGTAACTGACATTCTTTTCAATCCCAAAACTTAAACAGTGACATGGAGGAAGAGCAGAGGTTGGAGTTCCCAGTTGCTTATTTAAGTTGGTATGCAGGTAACCACAGACCTATTATATTTATAACCAAAGTATAATATAAGAGAATTAGAGATACCTACGTGTTTGACTTTATGCTTCTTCCTACTTTTTTCCTCCTTCGGTTCATGATCAGTTTCACTCTGAAAATGTTTCAAATGGAAAAAAAATAATGTAAGAAGTATGTTTAGCCTCAATTGAGATAAATATTTCATAACAATAATGAAAACACAAAACAATCACAAAGCTGTTCAAAAGTAGCATTAACGAGAAGTTTCCAAGGGACACACATTAATGAGCCCTTGACAAAATCACGTGCAAGTAGAATAACAAACCTTGCAGGATCTTGTTTTAATCTTTTGGTATCGTCGCTGTTCACTGAAGAAATTCTGAATATGTCTGGCAATGCCATCAGCATTGAAGAGTAGTTCTGGTATCCCACACTCTGGAGTAATTCTAGTAGCAAGTTCTGTCAGCTGTTGTTTTGTATCTGGACTGTTAAATTTGGGCAAGCTGTCTCCCCATCTTTGTGTTGCTAATAGCCCAATCTTTTTTCTCCTGTATAAAGTTGTAGATAAAATGTAAGCTGAAATATACACCCTATGATAAATGAGATTTACTGAGCTGTGCTGTTGCCATCGCAATTCATGACATAAGCACCCTGAAAATATCACCATGCAGATAAATATCCAAACATTGCACAGATTATTATATAAACACCAATGAAATACCAAGTGAGCTTTCACGCGAAAACATGATATCTTCACATGTGAAAATAACATGTTATCTTCACACGTGAAAAGATCACCGCTGCTATGGTTACATGATAAATCGCGCCTTTGCAATGATTTGGTATTTCATTGGTGTTTATAGAATAAACAGAATATTACATGGCCGCTTGGAGATACAAAATTTCTTTTCGAGTGTTGAAAAATATTTTTCGACACTCGAAGAGAAATTTCGTATCTCCGCGCGGTCGTGTAATATCCTCTATATCTGTATAAGTCTGTAGAACCAGTTTAATAATTCACCATTTTCAGACATACCATTACTGAAGGTGAGAGAAAGAGGTACACCTGTAGATTCATTGAAATACTGTAAGTTACTTTTTTATTTATAATCATTAAAACAGAAACCACCATATTATTGCACAACTTACTTGGACAAATAGAGTTGTCTCATCTCTGGCGACATAGATGACATATCTGCCATGGTTGGCTTGTAAGTGTTGGTATTTTAAAATCACTATTGCATTATTTCCCAAACTGAACCCAGCATTGGGAAAAAGTAACCCAAACTTTTACCGTTCCTTTCCCAATAGTGGAAAATCTTGTCCCAATATTTTCAATAATTGGAAAATTTCCCAACATATCCCCAGTGTGGGAATTGCAAAAAGTTTCCTGTGTTACCAAAGCGCGGGCACGGCATAGCAAATCCTTATTTTGGATACAATGACGCACTGTTTAGTATCCAGAAACTTGGACAACTTGAATCCATAATATTTTCTCTTACGAGAGGTGACTCCACCATGCGGCATGCCTACGTGAACCAAATGAGCCTGTATTCCATCTTCAAGGTTGACATTTTCATTTGGTTGTAACACATGCTGCACTTCTCCCACGATCCTATCAGCATTTAACTCATGACGAGACATGAATGGTAATGAAAGGGGGTATTCTAATGACCGGCTTTGGAGGACAAACGGAACGAGATCATTTCGTCTACCATAGAATCAAAAACCTCATCCAGTTGATCCATAAGGGGGGCTCCGCCCATCTGCGGTTCCAGTGAGAGGTGATAATGTGTGGCTGAAGTGTTAAATTTTCGTACTTTTCTTGTGATCATTTCACGAAGAGTGTAGTGTTTGTCAGATGTCCATATATTCCCTCCAGCACCCACTTGTTCTATGGACATTAAACAGTCCACTTCTTCATTCTGATGACATAAAAGCAAACTAAGAATAAGAGAAAAAATGTAAGACTAGAAACTGAAACATCAATCAGGCACACGACTTACAGGAATAAACTAGGAATGGGAACGATATTATGACTCACA